CACGCTGTCAACAGGAAAATGTATCTACAGCGGTTTGTATACAATGAGGAAAAAACAGGAGGAGACTTAAGAATATTTGGATCTGCAAGGTGCGTAGAGCTGGCCAAAGTAGGACTGGCATGCTCGCCTTACTTCGATTATTTCTATCCGAAATGTGCCAAAGCATCACTAGCCGAATTAAGGCAGCAACGATTTAACTGACTCACATTAGGTCTACTTGTGGGTATGATTGTCTTGCTGGTACAGCGCCCTAATATAGCAGAACGACGCGGCAGTGAAACAATCTTTTTGAAACGACAACAGTCAAGCAGACTACCCACACAGAGGAACAGGTATAATAAGAATCCGAGGTGCAGACGGAATTGTTTGTTGTGCACACATAGCTAATACTGAGTGCATCCGTTCCGACAAATGAGACATGCACCCACCTTAGTCATCCTGGCTGGAGATTGCATGGCGCGAGTTTCTTTCAGCGTATAGTAGTCGTGCATTGCTTATGCGTCCATATCTCGTGCGAATACAACAGCGGTTCTAAATTGTTCATTTCCTTTGGGGGAGTCATTACGGCCTGCTTTTGGCTGGTTGCTGTTTCGCATCCTTGCACCACGATACTGCTAACTGGCACAATAGTGTTTACCTTTAGTCCACCACAGTGTGAGTAGCTTATCTTCTCAGGACGCACCAAATTGTCCGGAATTCGTTCGCGACACATCTATAAGCCTACCTGGCCTGCGCTGCAGAATAACTCCTGCATGTTTCATCCCATAAATCCGCTTCTGTCCGTCCCATTCTGGTGGGCCAGAATTCATTTGATCGCCCGCAATTTGATAAGTTGTGGCTGCATCACTCTGCTTAAGATCAGTTCAGGAGGCTCCAATACCGGTTTCTTCATCTGATTTATTGCGCTTTCGACAAATGCCTTCTCAGTTCTTTTCGGGAGAGCCTTGCTAACGAGAGCCGCTCGTAACCCGGTCTCAGATGGCTCCATCAGGCTCGAGTTTCTCTGTCCGGTCTAACTGGTTGCACCAGTTCCTGTTTACATTCGCTTCCGTTTGGGCCGTCTTTCTATCTCGCTGACCATTAGTGCCATCCGTCCCCCTACATTAATACTCTGCAAAAGTGTGACGGTCCAGCGACCACACCTGAACATTGAGTTAACGTAAAATGTGATTCGTTGGCGGTAATAATAGCAGAGATGTTGCCACACGCGCCTACCTGACTTCTTATTACAAAAACTTAAGAAATTGGCCGCGCATTTTCGAACCACTTTAGCTTCAGCGCTGTTGTAACCCTAATCCAATCCGCCAATACAATTGAGTGAATCGCGCTAAATTCCTACTCTTGCATACACAGGAAAAGCTTCGGCAACATCTACAGTGACGATCAGCCTGCGGAATCCGAACACGTTCGAGTTTCCAACAGTTGCTAGGCTCATACATTCGTCCACATGTGTAATACGCAATAAAGATCTGGCAGCCCCAACGCCGGGTAAGCAATAATGTATGAATAAAGGCTCCGAGTGCTCGGGGTCTTCACCAGACAATACCGGCGCTTGCGTGCTGACCTCATTTTAAATTACCATATGTTGAGAGATCGCAACCATACGTGTTGCCAGTTGCTAGAGCTTAGTCACAACAGCAAGTTGAGAGGCCATCATCTAAAGCTGGCAGAGCAGTACAGTCACTCGGAATTTCTTTTCCGTATGCGTTTGCAAGACGTGGAGTGCTCTACCGGAATCTGTCATCTGTGCTCCCAAGCTAGTAAAGTTCAAAGCCCGAGTTGTCCGTGCGCTCATTTGGTTCAGTATTTCGCATGACTCATCGCCCATGCCTAATCACGAGTGGGTGTTATAGATTTCACTGCCGGTCAACTCCCAGCATACGTCCCAGCTTTTTTACCTCCTCTATGCGTTCACAACGAGGCGGCCCAATGGTCACCAACCTCCCAGTTGTCGTCACTAGTCACAGACTTACGGTCGATTTGTAGTTATTGAGAACTATATACTTCAGTGAGCTATGTATAACATAACGCTATGTCGTACATAGCTACTGTTAGTGTAGGTCGTGTCTTTCGGGGTCAACGCCGTCCTCTGCAACGTTCGTGACTTGCATGGCAGTGGATGATAAGACGTACTATATCACAGTTGGTTTGTAAATCATGACTGTCCGAAGCTGTCCCATGTGGCCCAGTGGCATGAGCTGCTGACTGGTGGTGCAAGCTACTGGTGATCATGGGTTCGGATCCTGATGGATGCGCACCACTGATGATGCCCAACAGGCTGAAAGTGCAGCCTAGCGCTTTTCCGGGCATGTCAAAGACTATCTGATTTGGAAGCTGGCTGTGACCAACCTTAATTATTCACAATAATTTCCGACGTCAGGCATCTCTAGATATATACTGTAACGCACGAGACGGGCACGTTGGGGTGCATTTATTAGGGCCATTTAAGCTTGTATGCTTAAGAAATCAATCTTAACACGGCACGCTCAGGTCGCTCGGCTACCCTATGGTGAATCGAAATGCAAAATTCATCAATTCGGTTTGGGAATGAATGGATTCATTACTCAGCAGCTACAGACATAAAATCACTGGGTAGCCGTCCCATTTCATGGGAACTCCAAATTTCGTGCGTTGCCCCTGAATTCCATTGGAGTTGACTTTAATTGTTGCTTCACAAGAAGAGCGTGATGGGTTCAAATCCCATGAGACTCGATAGGTGAGCGATTTTACTCCGTCCGAAGGGGACGAAACCACCCCCAGTGGTTTTCAAGATTTTATGTAACTGTCACTTGGAGTTCAATTTCGATTAATTCCATTGAAATCCTTTGGAAAAGATCAAATACCTGAACGTTCAGTTAAGATTGCGGATCAACTAAATTGGCGACGCTAGATGACCGGCGGTTTCGTGAGCAAAATTTCCTCTGGGGCGTAACCAAATTCAACTGATGTCAAAAACGCGCTGGTAGTGGATGAGCTGCACACTGTTTAATGCTTCGTTCCACAGACACGCCAGCCCGGAGAAAAGCTGTAAGCTCGTGAATTACACGCATTGATGAGGAGACCAAGTAAGGTTAAATTGCAAACCAGTGCAATTCCAATAGTGCAGCGTTTATCTAACTGAGCCTAGTTGCGACGAATCCGCGGAGGTACAGAATTTTAGATCCTTACCATCGCAGAACAGGATGTGCACGAGGCCATGACTGAGACTAGTGTACGGTGGAAACGCAACCCCACAATAAGAACACACAAAACTGAGTGGAAGAAATAAATTGTTTTGTACACATAAAAAAGTAACAAATGTAGGAAAACTTAAAAAAAACATTGTGACTCCTTGCGAATTGAAATCGATGAAAGTAGAACGAGACAACCAACAAACACGGTATCACTGAGCTGATACTTCGGATGCGAAGTAAAATTCTTGCAACCCTTTGACGGCTGTCTTCAGCAAAGCAATTTCCTTCTGGGCAAGTGACAATCTGTGGACCAATCGAATTAGAACGGATAAATAGTAACGCTCTACTGTGAGCGAAGGAATGGAAGTAGGGACCAAAACGAAGGAACAAACAAAAGCAGGACAAAAAATCGTCACATATTGGGGACGTTTATACGAACAGACAGACCACAAGGCAAATGAGAGCACAACGCTTCGCGAGCCGATAGAACAAATGAAAGGTTGGATTAGGAGAGGCAAACACAGTCGTGGAAACTAAAAAAACCGAGCAGGCTAAAAAGAGGCGTTCGGAAAAGGCGAAAAACGATGACTCGCGTTCTACCCAAACGATGTCTAACGTGACCCAGTTAATAAATCATTGGCTCAGTGGCGAATCTGCCAGCGGCCATGGGATCGGTTCCCTGAAGGGGACTGAAGAGATGTGCGACACTGACCAGCCCCAATAGGGCGAAACGTAAGTCTAGTGCCTTTTCGGCTTGGTAGTTAGCTTATCTAACTTGTAATATAAAAATTCTAATCAAACTTGTAGTCTAGCTGCGACGAACCAGATAAACATTACCAAATCCTTCTACTTGCGAGTAGCTTGGAGGGCATTCGCATGTGGATGACGCCGGCAAGTAGGGCGATTGACACATAATCCGACTGGTGCTCACTTAGTGACGTACATGGGAAATAGAAGAGCACTTGTAATTCTTCATGTCGGCTTCTCCCTAGCACCGTGAGAGCATATGCTATCATTTGGTGGACTAGTGAACTGCCGGTTCCAAGATAAGTAAATGTGCCGCAGTGGAGGCGACTGGGTAGTTGCAGCGCATTCCCAACAGATGATAGTAAGTAATGTCTTTGATGATGGAACGTTTGTCTAGTTGCAGTCTGAGAATGTGAATATTAGCCTAGAGCTGCAAGAAGTGTTACAACTGGCGAGCAAGGAGTGATTAATCAAATTTATTGATCTCGCCTAAAATGGACAAAGTCTTCTTACATGTTCCATGGATACCGACCTTGAGTATAGAACCATTCCGAATTAAGAGTTCAGGTCTGAACTTGCACTGTCATTATCGCGTATAGAAAAACAAAGCGTCCTAAAGTGCGGTCGTATACCGGTGATGGGTAGGCGAATTGGGAATTGTCTCATCCCTGACGAAAGGTCAATAAGAATTAAGTACTACTACTAATAATAACATAATTATGTGTCAGCTGTACGCCGTTAGGGCGCTTCGCTGCAGCGCGACCAGCACCAGTCGCGCGCGGGCTCAGTATACTGCGAGGACGATTACCCCTACGCGGATTCGAACCGGTGACCTTATGGTTGCAAACCAAACGTGCAGACCACTCGGCCACCGGCCGACTTAATTCAATACTAATAAGCATTTATAAAGAAAAGTTCAAAGGGAACTTCGATTTCATATTGAAATTGGATTGCCTAATTGATGCCATGGTATTCCTATTCCAAAACCTTTTTCATGTATGGTTCTACACGTGTTCTTTAAACATTTGCATTTTTGGCTATTTAAGGTTTTATAGTGTTCAATGAGCATATGCTTGACACCTCAAGGTAGACACATTTCACATTCGACAGACTATCAATATGCGAACTGTTACGCTGAAAGGCACGCTGCCTCACGTCTTAATGAGCCTGCCTCTTTTCATTACGATTGCAAGCGTACTCAGGGGTTATCAACAGTTTTTAAGTTGCAATGTAGAATCATGAGTATAGGAATTTGCGACCTATCTCTTCTGCACAGACCATGTGCAAAGTTCAGATCCTCTACAGTCTTCAGTTTACGTTACCTATGAGGTGCTTATTCCAGGTTTCGTATCGTCGCTACAAAGGTCAACAGGAAAGAAACACAAACTCGCGGGTTAACTGCGCTAAAGTTGGAGTTATTCACTTAAGAAAAAGTAATCACTTTTACTAGTCACTGAACTCTGAAGAGGCGTGTGAAGAATGTGAAGTAACAAAAAAAAAACAAACATCAAGCTTACTGTAGCCCCAGTTGACGATGCTGTAAGTCAAAAGTAAATAGCACCAAGAAAATGCTATGAACAGGAACCATATTGCCCTCCGGCGTCCAAAGACAGACTTAGACATATTACAAATGTACCGTCCATCAAAACGATATGACGCTTGTCGAACCAATGAAGGTTACATAAAACTGGGTGAACAACCAATGGAAGTCCGAATCGCGAGGTCTGACAGTCCGTGTTCAGTTAGCCTCCAAAGTGTGAGGTCCATGGTAGTAATTTAGGCGAGTCGCCACGGCCCTCAGATGGCATAGGATATTTTCACTTCCCCAATAGAAGACGAGATCTTAGACCGAAGGCAGGATTGGGAGCTCTACGATTGTAAGGAGTTCAGAGTAGTTAGAGCATAGCAATCAACCAGTGCTCGGATACCCGATGTGGTACACCGTAGTTTTAGCGATCGTGTTGAGGGGACTGTCAAAATGTTCAGCATGCACAACCTGAATGAACACGCGTTTCCCACTATCGTATAGTTCGAGTGGACCACCACAAAGCGAATTCAAGGACTACTTTAGATCATTTGAGAGAACAACGACCCTCCGAGATTCTTGCCGGAACATCGTTTTAATCTATCTGCTGAGGGTTTAGCAGTTTTCCAGAAATGTTTTTCATATTTTCTTTGGTTAGGCTATTTAGGAAATCGTTAGTGCTTCTCTCCGCCACGGTTTCAAAAAAGAACTTTGAGATATCGTTGATTTGTTGATTTCGGTAAGGAAAGCATAAACACACAGAAAATTAGCAGGTTTTTGTAACGAAGTATCGTCGTCCCGATTAAAAGGCTGGGCTTCGACAGTGTACCTCTTCCCTTTCCGGAGGATCATTCCCACATCACGAACGTCATGCATCCTTTGATCCTCGTCATCCTTTGATGGCGTACCCAGGGAACGAAATCACAAATTCAGAGTCACATTTACAAACCCAAGATGGCTACATACACATATATACTGACACATACTTCTACATGCCAACATACACATAAATTCCTCTAAGCTACTGGTTAAGTTGTCATCATTTGTGTAATTGCCGCTCGCACCTGTCTGTATTACCATGATCACACGTTTGATGGCGTGCCTCGCACTGACGAAAATAAAGTATTTATTTATTTAACAGGGTGCGACTACCAACGATTACAGTCAGCAACGTGCAATCGTTGTCCGCATATACGGGATCTGTTGTTCGAGTCACATTTGTGATCCCAATGCCAATTTTCAAATTTAGCATTTCCTTAATGGTATATTTTAGTTCATCTGTAGTAGCTGTTGTGAAAGGTTGAAAACAAACCCCTCACGTACATAAAGCTTGGATTGACATAAGGTGACAAATGATTAGACCACGTAGTTGAACTGTATATTGCACATTCGAGAAATATACAAGTATATACACACGTACAAGTAGGTATAATTATAACTAGAAAGCACAAGAGACCTGTTCGCCAAAGGGGGATGATAGAGCGCCACTAGGTGTCCGAGACAATCTCGGTGACCGCAAGCAGCTGCGAACCGAAGTCTAAGTGGTCAACCTTCGTGCAACCAGGTCACTAAGTGTAACTTCATGTTGTAACGAATTAGTAAAGCAATCGAGATACAAGCGTGGCTATAGCGAAAGCTTATAAGTATGGGATTTTCGGTCTTAATCGAAGATGGTTCGGCGCAGTCAGTACAGTCGGATGTAACAGTTAAATCAGCGAGACCTGCGAGGCAGCAGATTAGGTGCGAAGTGAACGGACTCGGTTGTCGACGGCATCAAGCTCCGCCTACTGGATGACGTTTGCAAATTGTTTAAATGGAGTAAATACCATTGATGGAATTGAGTCGTTGTGAATGGCACCAAGCAGACGATATACGTGAAAGCGCTGTACGAATAAGCTGTGCGGTATCGTTCCGATACTTGGTTTTCCAAATGGGTCGTTTGTTTTTGAAGAGTCGAGTTTTGCGACATCAGGCTGCCTGTTTAGTCGTGCGGAAACATACCAAATTGCCTCCAGACGGTGTGCACATGGCATCACTGTATGGCTGCTACTAAACTGTGAGTAGTGACAGAGTTTGTAAACAGGCGGCAGGTGCCGCTATAAAACACTCCGAATGTATACTGACTGGACTTCCCATTTGCATTAAGTGCGAGCATAGAATGCAACAATAAAGGAAAGTAAGGTAAGTAGGATGTGTGCTAAGATAAAGATAGACCCACCCGATAAGAACCATCGAGACATAGTGAACAACCAGGTAGAAAATCAATCACTGATTCAGTGCATAGGCACCACTGAACACTTACCACAACCAGGCTCTGATGAACGTGTTCACATACCAAAGATGATCTCCGTAGTACAGTGGCAAAGCTGAAATGCAGTAGTGGGAATTCCTAATAGAATGAAGCCAAGCAAAGTTGATATGTGATTACATTTGAGGGTAAGCCAACTTTTCGGGCAGCAGCCTAAGCATCGGCTGAACACTTATCCTTCCTAGGTGCTTGAAAACACACTCCTGACTAGCCGAATGAACCATTTGAACTAATCCGATGTGGTACTCAGGCAAGTAGATAGATAGAAATAGGAAAATAACGTCGACATGACGCTGACTTGATTAATGATGTAACACATGGTGGATGTGAAATGAGTTGAAAAGAGTAAGCGGCGACTGAGGATGAGGAAGGCTGCTGGTTGTTAAGATACAGAAAAGTTGCATACGTCACAGATCAAGATGCTATATATGGACAGCATATAGGAGTGAAAAAAGTGAGAAGCAGAGATGCCTGATAAAAGGTGTTGACATAAGGTGTCACAAGTGGCTCCAGTAAGTAGCAAAACAACATGGTTCGCTGAGTAGTGTTACAAGCACTGGTCCCATGTCCCTGGAGCTCACAGGTGGTGGTAGGCAGCCAGCTACGGAACCACCGGTTAGAATCACGATACGTCTATCTCGGTCTGCAGTCAAAAAGAGGACGAGACAGGATGAAAGTGAGCAATCCCAAGACCGCCTCCACCGGATGAAGTCTCAGAGTTGACTTCAAAGTAAAGGATAGCCTCAAATGATATTACATGTGCAGTTAAGAAGACGACAGTGTTGCAGACCCTAATTTTCGTTGTACATACATAGTCACCCATCTGACTTAGCCTATTTTCTAAGAAGGTTCAGACGAGTTCCGGAAAGCACCTCAAGAGTGCAGCCATCTACAGATGTGAGTTTGCGACCAGAGGATGTGCAGAAATTACTGGGTGTGCTCAAAGTATCATGACGGTGTCCAAGTTCGCCAGAAGCGGATGCGACGAAAGTGGTGTGGTCCATAGGAGTCACGTTGCTAGCAGCAGAATTTTAACTTGGGCTCGCCGGTGCAGAATTCTCAGTTAAACCGGGCTACTGACAGATAACTATCGGTCAAGCGAAAGGCCAAGAACACTGAACGGTGACTGTCACGGTGTGGAGTGTTATCGTCTGACCTTCGGAAATGGCGCAGCCCAAGTAAAAAAGAGTTAATCACCGCATAGTTCGCAGAATACTTCTAGCGAGTGCCATAGTTAGTACTGATAATATTTTGCTTTCAAGAGCCAGATTTGAATTCGCAAAGTTAGAGATAGATGGAATTGCGAACAAGGGAAAGAAAAGCAAACAGGTCCCAATATGCAGTTCCCATTAAACAAAGGCATCGAAGGACAACTTGATTGCAAACCTTTCAACGCTTTTCGAGGCGACATCATTAGTGCAGGGTTGATGTCGACTGAACAAGTCTCACGATCTACCAGAATCGCAAGTAATTTGGGCAAAAAAGGATTCTGAGCAAGAGTCTGGCAAAATCGGCAGAATAAAAGACAACAAATAAAAAACGCCTCATTATGGATAGAGAATATAGGTTGATTTTGCTAAAATCGGTACACAAGTTTCAACAGAATGCAACGATCAAGTGCATTTCAACTGAGCCGGGGCCCGTTAATCGGTTACAAGTGAATAAAACCTAAAGCGCATAATTGTACCCCATTGTGGTTTGACCATCCTTTGAATGGTCAGGTGTGGCACGAAATTGTTAAACTGTTCTCTTTCATTAACAAGAATCAGGGCCAGAAATTAGTTCGAGGTAAATAAATATTTTCGGTGAACTCTCGTCAGACCCAAACGTTTACATAACACTGATTGTGTGAGGTCAGCGTCAAATGGGGCTGGGCGGTAGACTTCTAAACGGTTGAACGAACAAAATCACTAACTTCAGACAAGATTATAGATGGTAAGCCAAGTGAACTAAAGTAATATTAATGCACAAACTGTTAATTATCTACCTTGTGATTATCTTAGCTATTTACGTTGTCTGCGTATTATTGTTCCAGTAGTTACTTCGGCTTGTCATCTATAGTCCGGCTTTAAGTTATCAAGTTTGACCGTCCAAACAGCTCAGAGGTCAATCTGCAGCCTGAGTTGACGATTTTCACGCATAATCAGTGTTATGTAAACTTTTGGGTCTGATGGGAGTTAATCCCGTACAAATTGCTGGTCTTGATTTTTGTTACTGAAACTGGCCCTTAGTTGATCCGGAAAGTATTTCTGCATGTAAACTCCGTGGCATTATGCATCCACCAGAAGTTCAACAATCAACATCCAACAAGTTTGTGAGACTTTAGCGTGCACTCTATTGGTGGGTCACGGGGCAGGTTGAGGGTGTGTGTGCTGCTTTATGGTAAAGGTGAAATATTGATACCATCAGAGTACCAATCTGTAGGTGGGCCAACTGTTCACCTCCAGAAGGCTGAAATCACATAAAACAAGGCTTTCTCTAAGCGCTCATTGCCAGTCTGATCTAGAGTACCCGTCGTGAGGAAGAAAGATGAAATGAAGTCTAAATATTAACCGCGAGTTAGTACAAATTGAACCTCGGTCGGTTCGATCATTACGACCGCACATGTCAAATGTAACCTGTTCGCAGCAGTGCTGAAATTAGGGCCAAAAGAAATATTTATCGTATTAGAGGAACGATATGATGAAACAATACCTATTCATCATAACAATACTTAGCGTTCCAACAACACGAAGAAAAACAAGGAGGTAGAAGAAAAAGAAGAAGGAAAACTGGGCTTACGGTTCGTCGGCACTAACACGGAGGCTATAGGTAAACCTGCACAGTTTCACTATAATTGAATAAACTATCGTGTAAAGTAGATAACTTTGAACATGGTTGAAAGTGGGAAATGCCTTCTCTGGCGGTGTCGATCATGGCTGACAAAGTGTATCCACTCACCCTGGTGTTGGAAAGTTGATATCGGTGGGGTCGATATGTTCGAGTTCCACTGCGCCCTAAAGATGCACAAAGGCGAGAGAAAATCATACGACAAGCGGCTCAAAAAGAGTTGGAGAACAACCGTGGGATTTTAAACGGAACATTAGTAAAAAGGAAAATAAAATAAAACACCAAAATAAATCAGTGACTAAAACCTATGGTCTTGGAATTCAATCACCAGAACCTGATTTAAGAAAAGCGCAAGATCAACTGAGTGGCTGTTTTCACATTCGTCTGAAATCCATACTTTATTTCCATGAAGAAACAACATCTACAAAAAAGGAATACAGTCGCATGAGAGGTTAAGAACATTGTGCAAAGTACATTCAATCCGAAAAACTACCCAAGGTGTTAATGGAATGTAGGGAATGAGATGTGTGTGTGTATGCAACATATGATTGTGTGGGGCGGATTCACAATCAAATTATTCCTTTGAAGGTCTCAATCAAGAACGAGGAGCGTCAGAAAAATGGACCACTTTAAGAAACTGCAGCTTAAGTGCAGGGTGAACCTATGTTAAATAGTTGTTTAAGTACAATTCTCCAACAACATCCGCGAACGTCTACGACAAACTAACGTTTGTCCAGTGCGTATTACCCTAATGTATGACGCCCAAGACTGATCGAAAAGAATGCATTACAACCTTTGTTTAATTCAAAGCGAATTTCTTACTTTTAGTTATATATAGATATATATCAATATATGTTTGGTAGTATCCGGTTCCAGATTCGTCTGTCACTGCGGACAGCCACAGGACGCCTGCGCCTACAGAGGGACCATGGGTGACTTGCGCTGCACCACCCACAGCTCCAACCACACACCCCATATCCAGTGTAAACCCGAAGGAATAAGACCGGGAGGCATGTCGAGGAGAGTCACGTTTCATCAACGGGGCCCGCCCACACCCTACACAGGTAAACACAAGCATGCTGTAGTTGGGAATGAAGCGCACACAAGGCGGTGGCTGGACCGCAGTCCGCTCCACACTGAGTGCATGGAACCATTCTTCGAGCCTAGTACGACCACAAGGACCGTGCACCCCGTCCGTTCCAGCAACAACCAATTGCCTCTTGGAGCCAGTATAGTCGACGCAGTAGGTAATAGACAGGTACGCACCTTGTCAACATGCACACCAAGCGCAGCCAAACCGGGCATTTCAAGCAACAGCCAATCACTTTAAAAGACGAAATCAAATCAAATAAACCGAATAATGCATACAGACACGGTGACATAAATCTTAAATTAATGAGCATATGAAATAAATTGGTCACGAACAAATCCGAGATAAGTTCGAGAGGTCAGAAAATATATTTTGAGAAAATGCCATAAAGGCGAAAATGCTATCGAAGTTAGCTACAATTAGCTGAAGCGAGATGTGCAAGTTAATAGAAGGTAGTTCAGGTAGTTAGTACGATAAAAAAGCAGTAGGACAATATAGCAAGCCCATCACTTGAAATAAAGAGACTCAGCATCCAAGCACGCGGTTAGTAAATCGAACGCAGCGTACTTACAAAAGCTGCACCGGTTCTATCTACGTTCTCTGCAGGACCTGTCGTCGCGTCGGTGGTGGCCCCGAGTGGCCTCGCTCATGGTTCACTAAGCCTGCCTGACTCAGGCACTCGCGACCGCATGTGCTACAGCACCATGCGCTCGTGGCCGATGGAGTACAACTCATACGGTGCTCCACACGAACACTGTAAGCACAAGCGACATCAAAAGCACAAGTCATGAAGATAAATACCAAACAGAGCAGGAACTAAGATACAGTCTTGCTTCACATTAGAGACAACTGCAAAGTCATCAGAGGTCTCTCCACTCAGCTGCACCCTCGCTCGCATACCATTGTGCAGACATTCAATTAAACTTACAAACTTACGCGGGCAAACAAACTTACCCAACACCAGCCACAATGCCTCGCGGTTCACTGTATCAAATGCCCTGGTGAAATCAACAAACAGTGAGTACAAAGGCTGGTGTCGTTCTCCAGACTTCTCCTGCAATTGACGAGCCACAAACACCATATCTGTAGTGCTGGGACCTGAACAAAATCCACACTGCTCTTCCGCCACGTTAGGTTCCACAACCTGACTGACGAGGCGGTTGAGCAGAATTCGGACAATCACCTTGCCCACACAACTCAGCAAGTTGATGCCACGATAACTCATGCAACATTGGTTGCTCCTTCTACCCTTGTACAGTGGTAGCACATGGGCACCCTTCAACTTAGGAAGCACCTCCTCCTCAATCCATACATGCTGCACCAAGTGGTGCAGCGCAGTCAACAACGCTGGTCCGCCGTGTTGCAATACTTCAGGCGGGATCCCGTCGGCTCCGGCACATTTACCGTTTCGCAGCTGAGCAAGTGCTCCCTGCGTCCCATCCAATGACGGCGAGTCCGCCACACCCGCCTTCACATCGTGCTGCTTCAGGCCATTCAAAGCAGGCCAGTCGATATCTCAACGGTTGTTCAAGAGACAGGCGAAGTGTTTTTGCCAAAGCTACATTATGTCTGTAGTCCAAGTAGCTAGCGCTAGAGTTACCATCGTTCAGCACACTTAGTGGCTCCAACCTCTGTCCATACACCGCCTTCAAGGAGTCAAAGAATTCCCTATGTTGGCGGAGTTCGGCGTAGCATTCCATCTGCTTCGCCTGCTCCGTCCACTATGCAGTTTTTATGAGACGGATCTCTCAGGTCAGTCATTATCGAATTCACCCAAAGTTTCTCTTCTTCCTCAATTTAGTGTGGTCTTCCCCATGTGCAACAAATACTGTATTCTTAGACACCAATGCGCCAATAGTCGCATTGTTCGCATCAAACCAATCAGGCCGCTTACAGTTTGCGCGCCCGATTGTCCCCTCGGCAGCAGCTGTCATCTGATCCCGAATGTGGTGCCACAAGACGCCCACTGTGGCCATGCATTCCAAGATCACACAGGCGTGCAGCCATCGTCTTCTCCAGCTCAATACGTTTCGCCACAGTATCGAGGGAGAGAATGTTAAATTTACGCCGATTCACGGCGGGAATGCAATACATAGCTTTACGAAAATATATGTACAGTTTGGTCCGCAATAATTGGTGATCAGTGCCACACTCAGCGCTACGTAGTCCACATGTCATGCGCACTTCACGCATAACATGCTGACGTAGGGTGACATAGTCGAGAAGGTGAGGGTGAACACTCCGTGGGTGCGTCCAATTTGCTATATCACTCGCACTCAGTGCAAACCGAGTGTTCGTGATCACCAGGCCGTGAGTAGCACACAGTGAGAGCAGCCTGTCACCGTTCGCAATCGCTGAACCAATGTCATGAGTACCGATGATATCTAATCACATCAATGCATCACGCCCAACGCGCGCGTTGAAATCACCCAGCAGAAATAGTCTGTCGCTCCTCGGCACAGGCTGTATCACGGAGGATAACTGAGTGTAGAATTGATCACGCGTGTCATCAGGATAACACGTAGTCGGACTGTACGTGGGTATAAAAGTAGCAAACTGACCTCTTCCTATTCGTAGTCCAGCATTCATCAGTCGCGCGCTGATGCCTGTTGGTTCACCCACCAGCTGGCCATGGGGACGATCGGATATCGCAAATCCGACCCCATGTTCACGTGGTGCTGAGGCGGTGATGCCCACCCAGGGGCATGTGTAGCTAGCACCTGTTTCATGCAACTTACATTGCTCACCGAGCCGAGTCTCACTAAGCGTCGCAATATCGATGTTGTAGCGCGCCAGTTCCATCGCGATCAGTGCAGTGCGTCGCTCCGGGCGCTCGCTGGAGTTCCGTTCAGTATTGTGCGCACGTTCCAGTACCCGATGATGAGTGCTTTGCGCACAGGCATACGATTACATTGGTGGGCAATCGCACGTGAGGTGGCGGTTGTGCTTCGAAGGTTTGCTTGATGGACTCCGCCCGGAGCCTTTGGCTCGGTAGACTGATGCACAAGGCAGTGAGTGGTTTGGAAGTTTGTTTGAGGGACTCAGCGCGAATTCTTTGGCTCAATAGCATGATCCACAAGGCAGTGAGGAGCAGATCCAGTGATTGTAGAGACAGATTGGGATGGGCTTGAGGTCCGTCACACGCAGCATTCGAGGTACTGGAACGATTCATAGAGGCTTTGCGATCGTAGTAGGATACGCATCTGCGACCACGGCCAGACGCAGGTTGGTTTTGGCGGGTTTGCACCAATTTAACCAGGAGCTGCCTGACTCGAGGCGGGCAGTAGAAAACCATTGAGCACCCGGATGTTTCCTCTCAACGAGAGAGAAAACGCGTGGCGCTCGTGCTCTACGCCAATCGAGTGGTGAGCTTATAACCCGTAGACCTGTTGTCTGCCATGGCTAGGTTTTACGTGAAGAGGGCCGTCTACCACTTCCTAACCTCCGAAGAGGATTTACTAGGATACTGGCAGGGCGCCCCCAGCTGACAGGAGAACGACTCGGGTCCTCAGCCAAAGCCTTCGATTAAATGTACACCCGGAAGGCAGCGGGTGCAGCACATGGTCTGTTCACTGACTCATGCAGATTGGTGTCCTGGATTTTAGCAGGGAGAAGGGCGTCCAGCACATGAGCCCATGGCACAACAGTAGCATCAGCGCGTAGACCATCTGTCAGAATATATATATATATATATATATATATATACGCATACAAGTGCTGCGCATCGTCTCTCATCACCGATCGAAGTGCGATACGTTTTAGGCATTGCTTGTCCCGATATTGCGCCCAACGACCGGCTTCGTCCCCATTTGGAAGCTTCAGGCGGAGAGAGCCTGAGCGCAATTGAACCATGAATGTAGTCGTTGATGGTTGAAACTTTAATCACTCAGTTTAATTGAACAACTATGAGCACGGCACGGAATTACGGTTGATCCAGTTGCCACGACGCATGTTGACTGAGTAAAAATAAATAAAAAATGATAAAATATGATATAGAATGCCAATACAATGCAAAGAAAATGGAATCAAAAAGGAAGCCCATTAAAGCAGTCGAGATGGAATAAAACAAATGCAGGA